GATTTAGAAAAAAATTTTTTTTTTTTTTTTTTTTAAAAATTTATACGTACTTGAGCGTTAGAGAGGGTTGGTCGGCAGCAGAACGAGATGAGAAAGTGAAGAAACTGAAACATAGAGAATCAAAAAATTCTGAATTAGAGGGGTTTGCCGTATGGTGAGAAAATGAAGAAAGGTGCAGGGGACAAATTTGTGAGAGATATCAGTACACTAATAAAAGAAGGAAAACTGAAAACATACACTTCATCTTCCGGCTGTCTACTCTAAATCATTTCTTTAGTGCTGCAAGTTGAAAGAAAGACTGTCAAAAACATCAGTCAAATTGCTAATAATATCAAAATACTCCTTCACCTTTCAAAAATATTAGTAACGTCCTTCATTTCAAATTTTAATTATAATTCAGCTTTAAGATTAATATTCTATAAATTATTAATACTCAAATTATTATTAAAACTAATATATAAAATCCATATCATAATGCATTTGACTTTAACATCACATCCTATTATCAATGTCAATTACTCTAATTAGATAACTTTAGTTTACCATCTATTTTAAACATCAAAATGCGAGGTTAATTTAACAAAGCGGGATGAGTTTATCACTTTATTAGCATTGATGGCCACATTCTTCGCCCCCACTCACCTCGTATTGTCCTGCCCAAAATGGTGAAACGGCCAAGAACATAGATATGGCCCTTTCTGGAATTTTTCAAGCTCATCTGAATTTTTTTTACTTTATTTTATTTTTATATTGTATAATTTAAATCGAATAATAAATAAATGATTGTACATGACAATAAATGAAGATAATTTAATCCACATGAAACCCCATCCCCAAAAATCCCCGGCAAGACATGGATGAGGATGGCCATCGGCCTCACCAAATTACCAACCTATTTACAAAATAAATTATTTGCAAGCTATTACGTCAATCCGAGAATTTACCCAGTACACACTCGAAAGATAGCCGCTGTGGGTTCCCCCGTCATCCAAAAAAATTACTTGCTAATTTAAGTGAATAACTCATTTGGTGGTATCCAAGATGTTTTCCATTTTTACCACTAGAATCACATAAATTAGCAAATAATTTCAATGTCAAAGTGTTAGAATCGATATTCATTGTTAAAGTTCAATGAAATGGAAATTTTCCATTTCATTGTTGAAACTTGTATGATAATAGGCTGGGACGTTTTTTATGAAAGTCCAAAATAGTGAATAGATTGTACGAAGTTTTATTTATTGTTCCCAATAGCAATTTAAGTATTAACACTTTATACTTAGGGCCCGTTTGTGCCCCTATTTAATTTCAAAAAATGTATTATGTAATAGCAATTGATGTTGAAATGTATAGTTAAAAAAGAAGGAGAATTTTTAATTTATGTGTAATATTATTTTAATGAAGAATGTGTGGTTAAAAATAAGTACTGCAAAAAAAAATAATGTGACAGAATGTGGTAGAATGATTGACAAACAAAGATTTAAACATTAACTAGTCTTAAAGGAGTGTGGCAAGGGGGGTGAATATAATTCTCAAATTACGAAATTTGGGAGGTTAGTAATATTTGTAAATTACAGAAAGATGATATTGTGAGAAAAGTAAAAGATGTTTATAAATTCTCTAAAATAATAAATTATCTCGTTTTTACGACAATATAGTAGTTCGTTTAATTACATTCATCCATCTTAAATTCTTACGATTTATTTGAACTATAGACGAAATCTATTTACTTGGTTGAACCTTGTGAACTCTAATACTGAGTAGAGTCAATATTTTATCGAATTATTATTATTATTTAAATCATTTACAAATATACAAATGCTAGAAGTAATCTGTTTTTTCAATATTAAAGGAAAAGATTCCTAATTCAATTACTAATATAAATCTACAAATAGTTTTGCCTATTGAGAAAAATGGAATCATGAAAATAGTACATCTTTTGTATAGAAAGTCATACAATGTGTGAGTTAATCCAATCGCCAGTTAATAAGGTTTGTATTATAATAGTGTTCTCTACAAATAAGTATTAAATTGTTCCGTACAAAAGACCCTCGATCGTTCTTAGCTGTCTCCTAGTCACTTGTTATTATGCCAATATTTTAACTGTCATTTTATGAACATAGCTTTTTTTATTTTTTATTTTCGTCCTTTTGTATTTTACAAATAATTAAATTAAAACATAATAATTGACATTTTTGGCTTAATAGATAAATTGCTTGCTAATAGTTTTACATTAATATTAATTTGCTTGTCGGAATCTTGGGATTAACATTAACAAGGAAGATTCTTGGATGGAATCTTGATGGACCCCCAAAGAGGGGGTCAAAAGGAATATATGTAAATTTGGGATGTAATTAAAATCTTTTAATGTGAATAAACCATTAAATATAAGTAACTTATAAGCTATTTTCTTTATAAAGAAGACAAACTACATTTCATGTTTGGCTGATGTGGGAGTGGAGTGGGTTAAACATAAACATGATTAATATGTTAAATCATGACTCAAGTTTGAGTACAATTAGGCAATGCTCATAGTCTTTGCTTTGATAATCAAATTGGTCCAATTATTAATTTGATATAATTTTTCAAATGAAAGTGACGTGAAAGGTAAAATTTCACTTTCTAGTTTGTTGACTTTGCTTTAACAAGAAATGAAGCTGGTTCCAGATTATAATTAATCAAAAGGATTAGATGAATAAATTAAGACGATTTTTTAATTATAATTTAATATGTGAAAATAATTAATTTTTAAAATTTTCCATGTGGTTGTTAATTTCCACAAGCAAATTCTATACATTTAAGACTACAATTTACTCAAAAGTTGTAATCCAAGAAATACAAGTACTCGTGTGTCAAATCTTGCCAATGAAAGAACCTAAACATCCATTTGACCGAGAGCCATAATAGAGATCAAAGTGTCTCTAAAATTTAGGGATGTCAAAAATCTCCGCTCGTCCCGCTCCAACGAGGCCCCACCATGAATGGGGCTGAAAAACCCGTCTCGACAGGTTGGCGAGGAGGGGCGTAACTCCCCGCCCCGTGGCATGGCGCGGGGCGCAGGGTGGGGTCTAAAACTCGTCCCGTGAAGAGAAAAAATTAAAATAATAAAAAAAATAAACGGGGCGGCAAACGAGGCAAGTCGTTGCCCCGTCCTGTTGCCATCACTACTAAAATTTAAAGATAAAAAAAGTATAGAAAAATAAATTTTTTTGGTATCTTTAGAACTTAGAAGACATCGGTAGAGTGCACATTTGAAGACGTGGGTGGCTCAATATCTAGCCAAGTAAGAATATTGTTTATGGCTCCACGTTTAGTCAAGACCTCCAAATTTTAAGAACTTTTAGTCAAAACAGTTTTATCAATGACAATTATAAAAATAATTGAATGCATTTCAATCTATTATTACAAATAAACAAATATTTTTATAATTTTGTTTTACTAAAATGAAATTGTGTTTATAAATAAAACACTATAAATTTGAAAATTACATACTGTCAATATATTATTATGTCAAGAGTAATACAGCAGTTAAAAACATACTTTATCAATCTATAATTTACCATAAGAAAAAAATCACAAGTTAGTGACAATAACATATTAAGAAGGTAAAAAATGATATTTTTTTGTAAACTACACGTACAACTTCCTTGTCGGAGATTCTGATCAAAGCATTCTTAGTGATTATCATCAATATGGATATGTCGGTGCTTATCTGTGGTTGTCAACAACATTGTTGTGAGTAACTTTGTACAATTTGTTGAAAATAACTATAATACCATCAATAATCAAGAACGAAATTATCGTCAACGATCATTTGCTCCATTCTATATGTATTGTTACCACAATTCGTGTTGTTGAAGCTGTTATTACTACTATATTTTATTTTTAAAAATCTCGAAAAGCTTGCCTAACGCTCCAAAGTTATTTTGAGCTTGTTCTCTTGAAGAGCAAAGTATGAGGAGATTGTGAAGGAATTGATGTATGAAAAATCGAAAACTTCATAGGGTCGGGTGGGGGTCCTAACTACCAACAAAATATTGAAGAAACAAGATATTTGTGTGCGATATCGACAGAGAAATGAAGAAGATAAAGATGTCACGCTCGAAATACATTTTATGTTCTATTTTTCTATCTTTAAAAAAAAAAAAAATTTGCACTGTCGTGATGCTAAGTAAAATTGAAAAATATAATTGAAGCGCGTGAATAATTTAGAGAGACAATATATTTGAGAGATTTTTTTTGATGATCTAGAAATGTTGTGAGCTAAACATAATTACTAAAATATAAGATTGATTTATTTTTGTTTCCTCGATATTTCATTATAATGAGGCAATGATTATTTGACATTGCCTTAATGATCAAATTAATGTGTGAAACCATGATGTAATTATTAATTTGATATAACCTTTAACTTAAAGTGAAGTGGAAAGGTAAAATTTCACTCTCTAGTTGGTTGAATCTGTTTCACCAAGAAATATTTGAGGATACAAGACAAATAACTAATGAGACTAATTTCAGATTATAATTTAATTAAAAGATTTAACAAAGAATTAATTTTGAATTTGCCTTCCAAACAAATACTATGAATTTATAAGTTGGTCACTGATTTAAGATAGAATGTTTTAATGAGCAAAATTAAACTATTTTAATTCTTGGTCTAATTATAATCTCTTCATATTAAGCCCTTGTTCGAGAAAAAGAAGTATTTTGGAATAGTATTTTTTGGAGAATATGTGGTTAAAAAATAAGAAAATATTTTCAATTTACGAGTTAAATTATTTCATTCAAGAATTTGTGGTTGAACATGAGTTTTTTTAAAAAGACGATTTTTTGATAAAATGGGGCTCAAACTAAATGTCAAAATCAAACTTTAATTTTAATCATAAAATATCCAATTACTATTCATCTATCTACCGTTTGTTTTCATTAATTTATAATTTCAGCAACTTAAAACTCCATCCAGACAAGCATGAAATTCAATACTCGTCTTCTGAAAAATATCACGACTATAATCAATAGGTAGAAGATCTGAAACACGACCCCTTGAAATGGCAAATCATAAGAGCGAGGGCATCCAGATTTCTCCTTAATATGGGAAAATTATGCTAAAATTGAATAGGATTTGGAGCTCAGAGAAAAGTTAGATGTGTGTTAACTTTCATGTGCACCGACTAATTCATTTCTAGTCTGGTTATGTGTTCGACTGACACGAAAAATAAGAATAAGACATGAAATCAAGTGTCAATAAAT